TTAAATGTGGGGGTTGAGTGAGAGCAAGAGGGAGAGGATATAGGGTGAGTGAGAGTGACAGAATGGGAGGGGGAGAGTAAGAACGACAGCGTGGAAAAGGGCCATCTCAAACCTGCGTATTCTGCCTGATTTCTGGCGATTTGTTTTTAGCCTTAATCAAGACAGACAAGGATGAAGGTTCTGGCCAAGTTGTTAATGTCAAATCTTCCCCTTCTGTCTGCCACTGCCCCCCGCCCCCCACTTTCTCTCTCCTCGCTCACCATATGGATTTCAATCAGATGGCAGATTCCTTTCTTTGATGACCGTCAGTAAACCAGTTAAGTTTTTATGACAAACCTGCAGGTTTCATGGACACTGTTCCACGTGCAAGCACCGCAAATTATCAGACTCATTCAACTCAAGTTCACAATTTGTAGGTTGACTCTCAATCCCTTTCATTTCTGTGTTGGTTTTTGGATGTAACTTACATTGCTCAGATCTACATCACCAGCACCCCTCTCCATTCATCCACTGTTGCTAAACAATTAATCTGGTTATCCAACATTCTGTACTGGATGATTAGAAATGACTTCCAATCAGCCACATGGGTAGAGAATTATCTCTCACAGTTCTTTTGATTTTAACAATGGAGACTCCATGTTGTTTGCAATTCAGTGAATGAAATGGGTGGGTCTAGGTCCTTTTGTCGGATTAGAAGTTTTTTTGAGTCTCTATTTATTTGTCTTTTCACACAACCAGACACACAAGGAAGAGAGAGCAGTTCTTTATTTGCAGGCTTCTTGATGTCTCTAGCTGCACTGAATTCACAGGTCTGTAACGAACTACAGCTAGACTAATTTGAAGAATGTTGCATGGCAGTGTTTCCTTGACTCAAAGACTCCTGGTACCACTGTGTGTTATAACATATTGATCTCACTGCTCTGAAAAGTAACCTAGCCTTTGACAGATAAAGTGTACACCACATAATCCCAAAATCTTCAAGTTTCAGGTAAAACTATCCTGACACTTTCTTTTTAGATATGTGGCAGTCCAATTTCATTTTCCAGTTTATAATCCCAAATGAAAACAATACAGTCACTTACAATTTCTGTCTGCCTTTCACCATGCTCTTTTTGTTATTTAATCTCTCCTGTCTTACCTCCTATCTTATTGCGTTCCTTATGTTCATTCTTCACCTCTCATTTTCTCTGACTCTGGATTGTTTAAAACCTGATACATCTTTCCATTTTCCCAGTAGTTTAGGCTGCAGGTACAAATACATCTCTTATGCTTTTCTGTAAAGTAAAGGCAGTTTTCAATTCATAAACCAGCAACTCTGCGATTAACAGAGCAAGACAATTCTTTAACTCAAAGAATGCACAGTTAATTGAGCCCAACTATTCCATAAGCCATCACAAATGTGCAAATACCCAATTGAAAACATCAAGGTGATGGATTTACCTGAATGACTGCTACATAAGAATAGAAGCAATTCATGTAAGGTTTCACCATGAACAGGAAAATAGCTCTGTTTATTGAAAATATCCTTATTCTTCAACAGATGGCAGAGAAAAAAAGGGTTATCAATTTACGAGTACACAAATTCAATGGCACCCCTTTAAATACTCCAAATACACACACACATTCATAAATAAGACAGATGAAAGACACCAATATTCAAACACATTATTGGTAAAAGATTAGTGAAGGATAGAGTGGAGCCGATAAGGAACGAGCAGACTAAGCAAAGGGTATGGCAGCGGTGCTAATGAATACTTTGCTTCTGTTTTTACCAAATTAGGAAATGGTGACAATGGTCAATTTGAAATGTGGTGTTGAGCAACTGAGCATTATAGTGATAGATAAAGAAGAGGTGCTAAAAAGGTTGGTAGCACTCAAGGTAGAGAAGTTGGCAGGTCCAGAGGGAATGCATCCTAGATTGCTGAGAGAAGTAAGGAACAAATTGTTGAGCCATTGACAGAAATTTTCCAGGCCTCCCTGAGCACAGAATTCGTCCGGAGGCCCGAAGGATTTCATATTGACACTGTTGTTTAAGAAAGAGGCAAAGGATAACCCAGGAGACTACAGACTTGTCAGCTTGGCGTCAATAGTGGGCATAATACAGGATAAGGTAAATAAACAGCTAAATAAAAAAAAAATTAGACTGTCAACATGGCTTTGCCAAAGGCAGGTCATGTCTGACAAATTTACAGAGTCATAGATCACAGAAACAGACCCTTAGGTTCAACCAGTCCATGTCAAACATAATCCCAAACTAAGCTAGTCCCACCTGTCTGCTCCTACCCTATATCCCTCCAAACCTTTCCTATTCAAGTATCTATCCAAATGTTTTTTAAACATTGTAATTGTACCTACATCCACAACTTCCTCAGAAAGTTCATTCCAGACGTGATCACCCTCTGTGGAAACAAAATGCCCCTCATGTCTTTTTAAATTTCTCTCCTCTCACCTTAAAAATGTGCCCGCTAGTCTTGAAATCCCCCATCCAAGGGAAAAGACAACTTCCTTTAACTCTATCTATACGTGTCATTATTTTATGAAATTCTATCAGGTTGCTTTTCAACCTCCTATGCTCCAGTGAAAAAAGTTCCAGCCTATCCAGTCTTTCTTTATAACTCAAACTTTCCATACCCGGCAACATCCTGGTAAATCTCCTCTGAACTCTCTCCAGCTTGATAATATCCTTCCTATACTGGGCTACCAGAACTGGATGCAGTATTCCAAAAAAGGCCAAACCAATGTCTTGTACAACATCAACATGACTTCCCAACTCCTATACTGAAAGGACTGAGCAATGAAGGCAAGCATGCCAAATGCCTTTTTAACCACCCTGTCTATATTTGATACAAATTTCAAAGAATTTTGTGCCTGCACTTCTAGGTCCCTCTGTTTTAAAACTCTAACCAAGGCCCTATCATTAATTGTATAAGCCCTACCCTTGTTTGTTGTACCAAAATGCAATACCTTGATTAAGTTCTTTGATGAAGTGACACAGGCAGTGGCTGAGGTTAGTGCCACAGATATTGTATATTTGGACTTTCAGAAAGCATTTGATATCGTGCCACATGGCATGTTGGTTATCAAATTAGAAATTGTTGGGATTGATAAATCCATGGCATCATAGATTAGAAGTTGGCTAAAAGATAAGAAACAGAGTGTAGACACAGATGGACATTTCTCAGGTTTGAGACAAGTTGAAAGTGGTGTTGACATTGGGAGCCTTGCTTTCTTCTGATTTATATAAACGATTTGAAGATTGGTGTTAAGAGCAAAATCTCTAAATTTGCAGATGATTCTAGGCTAGGAAGAATAGTGAATTGAGAGGATGGCACTGGGAGAAACATTGACAATTTGGCCAAGTGGGCTGACACTTGGCAGACGAATTTCAATGGAGAGAAATGTGAGGTAATGTATTTTGGAAGAAGAAACACGGAAATACAAGTTCAATGGTACAAATTTGAGGGGAGTACAGGGGCAGAGGGACCTTGGGTTTCACGTCCATAATTCCCTGAAGGTAGTCAGGCAAGTTGAAACAGTTATTAAGAAGGCTTATGAGATCCTTGGGTTTATAAATAGAGACACTTGTGCTGCTTTTATTCTGGGGTGGCACGATGGCTCAGTGGTTAGTACTGCTGCCTCACAGTGCTAGGGACCTGGGTTCGATTCTACCCTTGGGCAACTGTCTGGGTGGAGTTTGCATGTTTCCCCCCACGTCTGCATGGGTTTCCTCCGACCCACAGTCCAAAGATGTGCAGGCTAGGTGGATTGGCCATACTAAATTGCCCATAGTGTTCAGGGATGTGTAGCTCAGGTGGGTTATAGGGTGATGGGTCTGCCTGGGATGCTCCGAGGGTTTGTGTCGACTTGTTGGGCCGAAGGGCCTGTTTCCACACTGTCGGGATTCCATGATACATAGAGTATAAAAGCAAGGAAGTGATGCTACATCTCTACAAATCATTGGTCAGACCACACTTGGAGTATTGTGTTCAGTTCTGGTCATCGTATTTAGGGAAGGATGTTGAAGCACTGGAGAGAGTACAAAGGAGATTTACTAGAATGCTGTTCAAAAGTTCAAGGTGCAGGATATAACCTCCCTGCGTTTCTGTGAGACTATGTTTGGTGTAATGGTGAAAGAGCAACAACCCACTGATTGAATCTGCAGTTGCCACTTTTTTCTGACTGCAAGTGATTGGAAAGTGCAGGTAAAATCTTACTTCTAACGCCTGTCTCATTCATTCCGGAGCCTTGGAAGGGAGAATCATTGATGGGCTTGATTCCCTGTCTGAAATGTGATTTCAACTGACAGCTATTAACGGAGGTCTCACTGCAGGAGACTTTAATGATCTTACACGAATCACAAATACGGGCAGGTTTGAAGGAGCTTTCTCACAATCAGGGATGAAACAGGAGTAAGTGAAAGCTAGTCAGTTAGGTTTGTGTACAGGACTGTAGAATGAGAGAATGCATGTTCCACGGTATTGAGTTAAAACTTAACAAACATAATTTATTGATACTGCATGAATGGCCGGAATGATTCCTGGCTAAAATATCAATCAGTGAACTCACTCTTCTACCCACTCCCTCATTCCCTCTTTTGCCACTGTCGAATTACCCACTTTTCCTTGTTCACTCCTTCACTGACGTATAGGAACAACTCCTAGTAACGAATCATAGCGTTATAGCTTTTTTGCATTATACAGTGCAGAGGGAGGCCCTTCTGTCTATTGTGAACTTAACGGTCGTCAAACACCTTCCTATTTTAGTCCCAAAAGTGTAAAAGAAATTATCTTCATAAAACTGGACTTAAAAAGTGGTCTACATCGTATTTTAGGATATAATTTAAAGCAGAATGAAAAATATGTTGCATGGCGCTGCCTTCACCCAGCATTCTCCGCGGTTGGGAATGTCCCCTAGCTACAGCATTAGAAATCACCGCGCATGCGCCTTATCCACAGGGGCATGCGCAGTGCGTGAGAGACCGAGGAGCGGGAGCTTTTTCTCCTCCTCGGCTCAAACAAAAGATAACGATGAGGCGGCGCGGAGGTCGCGATGCACGGGTATGTAGACCGGGAGGCTTCGTAAACACTTTACTTAGGTGATAAACCACAGGCCCCCGCTCCAGAATTAAAAAAAAACACGTTTATCGCGCCAACAACAGGAGGAGGCTGGAAGATCCTTCGAAGGCAACAGGCCGCGGGTTGACTGTCGCCATCTTTGTAGGGGGCAAGCGCGCATGAGTCCGCCATGTTTGTCAGGGGCGGCGCCCGCCATCTTGGCCGGCGTTGTGGGCGTCAGTGCGCAGGCGTGGCGGCCATTTTACAAATGGGACAATGGTTTGGGAATTGATACTTTTTGTGATGTCACAATGGGGGGTGGGGGGAACAACGTGTCCATCAAAACTGCTCCACGCTCTGGGTCCCAAGGCCTCAATGTTGAGGTAGATCCATATCAGAGGAGGGCAGAGAGAAAAGGCACTGATTCCTGCACTCTGCACCACACCACCTCATGCATTAACATCCTTCCCTGTCTATCCATTGACCTGGGGACCTGTCGAACGCCGACTCAGGACACTGAGTAGATAGACATCATCCGCAAACTGAGGGGGGCCTTTATTGGTCAGCACATTAAGTATAGGAGTTGGGTGTCTTGTTGGACGTGTGCAGGACACTGGTTAGGCCACTTTTGGAATACTGCGTTCAATTCTGGTCTCCCTGCTGCAGAAAATATGTTGTTAAATTTGAAAGGGTGCAGAAAAGACTTACAAGGACTGGAGGGTTTGAGCTACGGGGAGAGGCTGAATAGGCTGGTATTATTTTCCCTGGAACATAGGTGGCTCAGGTGGGGACCTATTGAGGTTTATAAAATGATGAGGGGCATGGATAGAGTGAATAGCCAAGGTCTTTCTCCCTAGGGTAGGCGAGAAAGTGGTGGAGGCTGGTACAACAGCAAGATTTAAAAGCCATCTGGATGGGAACATAAATAGAAAGGGATATGGGCCAAATGCTGGCAAATGGGACAAGATTAATTTAGGATATCTGATCGGCACAGACAAGTTGGAAGAAAGGGTCTGCTTCCGTGCTGTATGACTGTATGTGCCACCGGGCGGCTTTGCAAAGGTAGAAATGTGGACCACCTGTGACCTTGGGCCGGGAGAGAATGTATTATGTAAGACACAACCCTGAGCAGGCGTCACCCTCGAGTTGAGGGGCAGCTGCTGGTTGAGAGGACTAGGGATGTTTCTAAAGTTGCTACCTTCATGGGTGCAAAAGTGAGAAAGGGTGCTCTGGGCCAAGTGAGTGAATGACATGAATATATCTCCTGGGCAGGTAGGATGGGGTTTATAAACTCTTTTTTACAAGGAGGGGGTGATGTTAGAAGGGGAAGGATTTACACACAGCAAATTTGAACCGAGAGAAATATTCTGAAGAAGGGTCGCACCACTCAGCTTTCTGTCCACAATTGCTGCCTGACCTGCTGAGGTTCTCCAAGTCAAATATTTGTCTTTTCTGAACTTCTATCCTGAACTGACAGTGATGATTTTGTAAACCTTTTTTTTAACAGGATATTAGAAGAGGATTTGCAGATCGGTAACTGAAACGCAGCATCACATCACGATCTGACAGTCACTCGATTTGTTATTCATTCATTTTTGACCTTTGAACGTAAGCATTGAATTCCAAGTCAGTCACACATTCTGCATAAAATTACAATCTCACCGTAATTCTTGCTCAGTGTTTTAATTATGTACGTAATCTTTTCACCATCAACAAATGGGAATAGCAAATCTTGTTCAGCCCTATCTTACCCTGTCATAAATTTGTAGAACTCAATTCCCTTTGCTCTGCAGAGAACATGCTCAGTTTTTCCAACCTGACCTTAAAACTAAAATTCCTCTTTCCTTGAACCATTCTGATAAATCTCCTCTGCACCCTTTCAGATCGTTCTCTGGTTTACTCAGACCCATGTGCTCTGTGTTTGTGTGTGTTTTGTGCTGGTATCATGCACAGGAAATTCCACAGTGACATCACCCACCCACCAGGTAAATCTTTCCTGAACCCTCACCAGCTGAATAATGTCCTGCCTAGAAGAGGCCTCACCAATGTCCTGTACAACCTCAACGTGACGTCCCAACTCCTATACTCAAAGATCTGAGCAATGAAGGCAAGCGTGCTGAACCTCTTCTTAACCACCCTTTGTAGATATGACACAAATTTCAAAGAATTATGTACCTGAACCCTTGGGTCTCTCTGTTCTGCAACACTAACCAAGGCCCTACCATGAATTGTGTAAGTCCTGTCCTTGTTTGTTTTATCAAAATGCAACACCTCATTTTTTTTTTTCTTTATTCATTAATGGGATGAGGACATTGCTGGCTAGGCAGCATTTATTGTCTGTCCCTAATTGCCCAGAGTCAACCACATTAGCTGTGGGTCTGGAGTCACATGTAGGCCAGACCAGGTAAGGATGACAGTTTCCTTCCGTAAAGGGCATTAGTGAACCAGGTGGATTTTTCCAACAATAGACAATGGGTTCATGGTCATCATTAGATTCTTAATTCCAGATATTTTATTGAATTCAAATTCCACCATCTGCTGTGGCGGGATTTGAACCCAGGTCCCCAGAATGTCATCTGGGTCTCTGGATTAACAGTCCAGCAATAATACCACTAAGCCATTGCCTCCCCCTTAATTTATCCAAATTAAACTCCACCTGCCACTCCTCAGTCCATTGACCCAATTGATCAAGATCCCCTTGTAATCCTAGATAACCTTCTTCACTGTCCTCAGCCTCCAAACGTGGTGTCGTCTGCGAAATTACCTACCATGCCTTCTATATTCTCATCTAAATCATTTATATAAATGACAAACAAAAGTGGGCCAAGTACTGATCCCTGAGGAATACCGATTGTCACAGTCCTTTGAGAAACTTGTCTGTTTCAATAAGGTCTCCTCAATCTTCTCAACCCCAATGTGTACAGGCCCAGCCTATTCAACCTCTCCCTCATAAGACAGTCCCTCCATACCCAGGATCCACCTAATGAATCTCCTCTGGACTGCTTCCAATGCCAGTGCGTATTTTCTTAGATAACGTGAACAAAACCGTTCACAGCATTCCAACTGTGGACTGTATAGTTTTAAGAAGACCTTCCTACTTTTCTACTCCATTCTGTTTAAAATACAGTGCAGCATTCCAGTTACCTTCTGGATTACCCACTGAACTTGGATGCTAACTTTTTGAGAGTGCGTTCAATTCTCCCTCCTATAGGAAAGATGTTGTGAAACTTAAAGGGGTTCAGAAGAGATTTACAAGTATGTTGCCAGGGTTGGAGGGTTTGAGCCATAGGGACAGGCTGAATAGGCTGGGGCTATCTACTCGGAGGCTGAGGGGTCACCTTATAGCAGTTTATAAAATCATGAGGGGCATGGATGGGGTGAATATCCAAGGTCTTTTCCCTAGGGTAGAGGAGTCCAAAACTAGAGGGGGTAGTTTAAGGTGAGAGGGAAAAGATTTAAAAGAGACCTAAGGGGCAACTTTTTCAGGCAGAGGGTGGTGCATGTATGGAATGAGCTGCCAGAGGAAGTGGTGGAGGCTGGTACAATTACAACATTTAAAAGGCATCCGAATGGGTACATGAATAAGAAGGGTTTAGAGGGATAGGGGCCAAATGCTGGCAAATGGGACTAGATTAGTTTAGGATATCAGTCGGCATGGATGAGTTGGACTGAAGGGTCTAATTCACTGCTGTACATCTATATGACTCTATAATTCAGAATATTACTCCCAGTGTTAATGGGACACTGTAACCATGCTGTTCAGCTCTACGACTGTACGACACCCAAATCTCTGTGCTATAACTGACTTCCACATTTAAATAATGTTCAGAACCTCTATTCCTCCTGCCAAAGTGCATAACCTGAGATTTTCCCACATGATATTCCATCTGACAAGCTTTTGCCCATTCGCTTAACCTGCCCATATCCCTTTGTAGAGCCTTTGTGTCATCCTCACCCACTTGCCTTCCCACCTATCTTTGTGTCATCCACAATCTTGGCTCTATTCACTTACCCCCATCCGAGTCATTAATATGTATCGTGAATAATTGTGGCCCCAGCACTGATCCCTGTCACATGCTGCTATTTACAGGTCGCCATCCTGAAAATGGCCCTCTCATCCGACTCTGTTCATCCACTAATCCTCTCTCCATGCTAATATACGACCTCCAACAGCATGACCTCTTACCTTTTTAAGTAGCCTAAAGTGTGGTACCTTATACCAGACTAAAATCTGAAAATCTAAATACATTACATCCACTGCTCCCCCTTTATCTATCCTGCTTGTTACTTCCTCCAAGAATTCTAATACATTTATCAGGCATGATATCCCTTCCTGAAGTCATGCTGACTCTGCTCAAGCATATTCTGCGTTTCTATGTAGCAGACTCCAACATTTTCCCCATAACTGACGTTAAGCTAATTGGCTTGTCATTGCCTAGTTTTTGTTGAAATAGTGGAGTTACGTCGGCAGTTTCCCAATCCCCTGCGACTTTTCCAGAATCTAAGTATCCTTGAGGAGATTATTACCACTATCTATCTGTAGCCGTTTCCTTTAATCTCCTAGAATGTTTCCGGTCAGGTGCAGGAGAGGCGTGAGCGTCAGCCCCCATTAGTTTCCCTCGCCCCTTTTCTCTAGTAATTGTTTTTATTTCTTCCCCTCTTTTTTGGGGCCTTGAATATTTAGCATTTTTTTTTGGAAAGCAGCCAGTGTCGTTTACTGTGAAGACTGACGCAAAAGATTTATTCAACTCCTCTGCTAGTTCCTGGTTCACGTTATTTCCACCGTCGCATTCTCTAAGGGGTCCATTTTTACCTGGCCTTCTTGCTTCCTGTCTACATATTGATGTAAGCTGTCGCTGTCCACCTTGATATTAAGTGCAACTTTATTAAAGTTTAGCTTCCCGCTGTCTGTTTTGTTTTACGGTTGTCTTTTGTTGGTTTACCCCCATCCTTCGGCTTACCACTAACCTCTGCCACATTTCTCTTCCTATTTGATCCTGTCTTTGACCTTCCCCGGTTGGGTTCTCCCTCACTCGAATTGTTATGGACCAGACCACCAGACCCCCTCAAAATATTTTAAGAAACGAGCCTAGGCCCTAACTTTCTCTTATTTTAAAGGTAGATGTGAAGTGCCGTGTTCCAGATGCGATGCAGTTAAAAATGCCACCAAAGAAAGAGGAATTTAGAACAACTTAATTGGAAAACTTAACAGATTAATAGATGCAGTAACTGTTACTAATTAACTGTTCAAATAAAGTAACATCTCCTAAACACACCCTTTGGGGAGAAAGGAAATGTCAGACACAGATTCTCACATGCAGTTATAGAGTCGTAGAGCACGGAAACAGACCCTTGGGTCCAACTCGGCCATGCGACCAGATATCCTATATTAATCTGGTCCCATTTGTCAGCATTTGGACCCTATCCCTCTAAACCCTTCCTAACCATATACCCATCCAGATGCCTGTTAAATGTTGTAATTGTACCAGCCTCCACCACTCCCTCTGGCAGCTTGTTCCATACACGCACCACCCTCCGCGTGAGAATCAGGAGGGAACTCAGAGGCGATGGTGTTCGCATCCTCCTGCTGCCCTGCTCTTAGGGGGTGGTGGAGGTTGAATGTCTGGAAGGCTTTGTCAATGTTCTAGTCAGGTTTTAGAGAAACACGATCCCTCTCCCTCACCCTCGCCCGCCTCTCCCTTTCTCTCCTGCCCGTCCCCCCCGACCAGCTGAAACTTGAGAGGGCGTGGAAAAGATTTACAAGGACGTTGCTGGGTTTGGAGGGTTTGAGCTATAGGGAGAGGCTGAATAGGCTGGGGGCTGTTTCCCCTGGAGTGTCGGAGGCTGAGGGCGTGACCTTATAGAGGTTTATAAAATCATGGAAGGAATGGATAGGGGGAGTAGGCAAGGTCTTTTCCCTGGGGTGGGGGAGTCCAAAACAAGAGGGGCATAGGTTTAAGGTGAGGGGGTAAAGATTTAAAAGGGACCTGAGGGGCAACTTTTTCACGCAGAGGGTGGTGCGTGTATGGAACGAGCTGCCAGAGGAAGGGGTGGAGGTTGGTACAATTACAACATTTAAAAGGCATCTGGATGGGTACGTGAATAGGAAGGGTTTAGAGGGATATGGGCCAAACGCTGGCAAATGGGATCAGATTAATTTAGGATATCTGGTTGGCATGGACAAGTTGGACCGAAGGGCCTGTTTCCGTGCTATACATCTCTGTGACAGCTTCCCTTCTCCGAAGTCCAGGAGTCGACTGGTGGATTTCTGTGACAACCCAGCGGATTCCATTTTCCCCTTTCTCATGGTTCCCTGCTCAGAATCGTTGGCCTCAGTCTCCCAAAACCTGCCTTTGTGTTTATTTGACGTAGGTTCTCTCTCACCTCTTTTCTGTGCTGTAATTCAGTTTGGCAGAATATTATCAAGGACGGATCCTGCTCGAAAGCTCAAAAAAGAACGAAACGTCACACCGGGATTGTACCGTAACCTGAACGTTGTTGGATTTTCAACGTGGAAAGCGTGGTGCGCAGCCGAGGGAATCTGCCCACATCAGCTGAGCGTGGCCGAAGCTTTGGGCAGCCGTCGGGGCTCAAATGCAGCCGCCTGTTGGAGAAACCGTGGAAGCGCGGGGACCGTGGGAAGGGGTTTCCGATCCCCGTCTGCGCTGGAAGTTCACCGATACGCAGCTGCACCGGGGTGAGGGGTTGGGGGAGGTGAAGGGGCCATTCGTTTGCTGCGAGTGTGGGAAGCGGTTCACCCGGTGTTCCGACCTGCCCGGAGGGCGCGCAGCGGCGAGTGGCCGTTCTCCTGCTCCGAGGGCAGCGAGCGGCTTACTCTGTCCTGCTGAGGCGCCAGTGGGCCGACGTGGGTGAGATACAAGTGCCCGGTCTGTGGCTGGCGACGCAAGAGTCCTTGGGAGTCAGTCTGCGACGTCCAAAACACCACCACCTCCAAGTCCCCCTCCAAGTCACTCACCATCCTGACTTGGAAATATATCGCCATTCCTTCACTGTTGCTGGTTCGAAATCCTGGAATTCCCTCCCTAATAGCATTGTGGGTCAACTCACAGCAGGAGGAATGCAGCGGTTCAAGAAGGCAGCTCACCACCACCTTCTCAAGAGCAACTAGGGATGGGCAAGAAATGCTGGCCAGCCAGCAACGCCCACATCCCACAAAATGAGTAGAAAAACAAGAGGCTGAAGCCCCTGCTCTGAGTGCGGCAAGAGATTCGCTTGTCTATGCCACCTACTGAGCCACTAGCGGGTTCACAGTGATTCAGTTTCGCCATCAATCACATCCGCTGATTCACCATGTCCATTGACACTTGGTTCTGCTGCTGACATTATTAAACTCCTCAGCCTCAATATTTTGGACAGAAGTCAAATAAATTAGCTCTTTGCTAAATACGAAGTGTCTTGAGTCTCTGTCATGCATGTTAGTACCACTGGAGTGTTTAGGACTGCGCTCACATTCTCTGGATAAGGTATTAGTCAGTTAGGGCTGAAGAGACCCACTGAAGTTTAATTTGGATAAAAGCGAGTTGTTGCATTGTGGTAAAACAAAGGCAAGAGTTGTACAATTAAAAGTCAACCTCTGTATAGTCAAGGAGTCATATAACACAGAAACAGACCCTTCGGCCCAACCAGTCTGTGCCAAACGTAATCCCAAACCAAACCATACCCACCTACCTGTTCATGTTGTAGAATAGAGACCCCTAGGGACAGGTATTTCTGCTATAATGTGTATTTCGTTAATGCAAATTGGCTGTAATGCGATTAATGAATACTGAATGCTGTTTGGATAATGCAAATTTTCCACTGCACAGTATAGAAATTTTCTATAGCGATTTCCCTATAACGTGATTTTCAATGGGGAGTTTCTATAGCGTGAGGTCAGACAAGAATGCAGTTATTGCGTTATCGGAGAAATACCGAGTACATAATTCTTTGAAGTTTGTGTCACATGTAGACAGGGTGGTTAAGAAGGCGTGTAGCACGCTTGCCTTCATTGCTCAGACCTTTAAGTGTAGGAGTTAGGACGTCATGTTGAGGCTGTACAGGATGTTGGTGAGGCCTGTTCTGAAGTACTGTGTCCAGTTCTGGTCGCCCTGTTATAGGAAGGATATTATTAAGCTGGAGAGGGGTCAGAAGAGATTTGCCAGGATGTTGCTGGGAGTGAAGGGTTTGAGTTATAGGGATAATCGGGGACTTTTTTCATTGAAGCATAGGAGATTGAGGAGTGAGTTAATAAAATAATGAGGGATATAGATAAGGCGAATGACAGGTGTCTTTTCATAAGGGTAGGGGATTTCAAGACTGGGGGCAATTTTTTAAGATGAGAGAAGAGAGATTTTAAAAAAGACATGAGGGGCAATTTTTTTACACAGAAAGTGGTTTGTGTGTGGAATGAACTGGCAGAGGAAGTGGTGGATGTGGGTACAGTTACAATGTTTAAAAGACTTTTGGATAAGTACATGAGTAAGAAACGTTTGGAGAGATATGGGCCAGGAGTAGGCAAGTGGTACTAGTTTAGTTTGGGATTATAGTTGGACTGAAGGATCTGTTTCTGTACTGGAAGTGGTGAAGCAGATTGCAGAGGCTGTAATGCCTCTCTCTGCTCCTTCACAGCAGCAATAGTGTAAAACAATCATGAGCGATGCTCGTGTTTATAGAGTGGCAGCAACAGGGTCAGGGTTGATGTTCAGAGATGCAGAGAGAAAAGAAAAATAAAGATTGAGGTGTGTTTTTTTAAAAAAAGATTGTATTTTGCCATTTGCTGAATCTTTTTTGCCCATTTCTCTGTCATTAGTTTACAACTACAACACGGCCATTTTTCCTGCAGCGTCAGAGACTGAGGGGTGACCTTATAGAGGTTTATAAAATCATGGGTGCATGGATGGGGTGAATAGCCAAAGTCTTTTCCCCAGGGTAGGGGAGTCCAAAACTAGAGTGACATAGTTTTAAGGTGAGAGGGGAAAGATATTGAAGGACCTAAGGGGCAACTTTTCACACAGAGACTGGTGCATGTATGGAATGAGATGACAGAGGAAGTGGTGGGGGCTGGTACAGTTACAACATTTAAAAGGCATCTGGGTGCGTACATGGATAGGAAGGGTTTGGAGGGATATGGACCAAATGCTGGCAAACGGGATTAATTAATTTAGGATTTCTGGTTAGCATGGACTATTTGGACTGAAGGGTTTCTTTCTGTGCTGTACAACTCTATGACTCTAACCGAGACTACATTTCAGAAGGACTGCATTGTCTACTGGCACCTGCAGATGCCAGGGAACCTCTCTCACCTCTGCGCTGGTCTCACTTCCCCTACTGGGCTTGATCTCCAACTGCCAAAGTCCCAATCCAGGCAGAAGATGAAGACAGATGAACATTCAAGCAGGGACTTTCACCACAGGAGGGAAAGTCAATTCATAGCCATCACCAAATCACCCTTTATTTACATGAACAGGGTTTGACTGTGGTACCGCCTCATGCAGAGTCAGGCACCAGAGTGTTGGTATCTCTGACACTCACCCTTTTCACCCATCAGCCAGGGCTCCCTGACTGGACCAGATTAACAGCCCCAATCAGGGAACTCATATTCTGTGAGGTCCAGCTGGCTGACCTTGTCACAATTATCATTCATCATTTGTGGTCCCTCACAGATGAAGATTACTCTCTTCCACTCTCCGGGTGAATCTGTTGGTAGCTGTACAGACAGGAAGGGTTGGTATGGCATTGGTGTGGCAGCGGATTCCTTTCACTGTTTTTGCCTGGCTTCCATCTTTTCCCCCGACGACAAGTCTCCTGGCGCTTGACGCTCCACCTGCACTTTGGACGGTCTTGGGCCAGTGATTCCCTGGTGTCATTGGGAATGCCGCACTTCCCCAGTGAGGCCTCGAGGGTGTCCCTGAAGTGCTTCCTCTGCCCACCTGGGGTTCGCCTGCCGTTTCGGAGCTGGGAGTAGAGCACCTGCTCAGGGAGTCTTGTGTCGGTCTTGCGGACAACGTGCCCAGCCCATCGCAGCTAATAGAAGGTGGGCAGTGTCTCAATGCTGGGGATGTTGGCCTGGTCAAGATTGCTGGTGTTGGTGTGTCTTTCTTCCCAGTGGATTCACAGGATCTTGTGCAGGCAGCGTTGGTAACATTGCTCCAGAGCCTCAAGATGTCTGCTGTAGACAGTCCACAACTCAGAGCCATGTAGGAGGGTGCAAAACATCCTCTCAGCCCAACGTTTATATAACTCTCCCAGCCTAGCATTTTTTTTAGTCTACAATCACAACAGCAATGAATTGACTTTTCTTCCTATGGTGAAAGTCTCTGTTTGAATGTTTGTCTGTCTTCATTTTCTGCCTGGATTGGGACTTTGGCAGTCGGAGATCAAGCCCAATAGGGGAAGCAAGCTCAACACTGAGGTGAGGGAGGTTCCCGGGCATTTGCAGGTGCAGGCAACTTGAGGTCTCCTGGAGAGCGTGGTAAAATGGAGGAGATTGAACCCTTGTAGGGAGTGCCAACCCGGTGTGGCTAAGCACTTATGAAAGATCATTGAGCTTTCAACTTTATTTCTTCATTTTCTATCTAATACTAAGACAGACTGTAATGTTTAACTTTTCACCTTGTTTCTTTATTTTCCTACTTTGTACCTAAGGTTTTTTACCCAGGTACCTTTGTACCTAAGCTGGCACTGGGAATGGAGACATTGTACCTTTTTCACTGTACACATGTACTGCTGTACTTGAGTACACGTGACATTAAAACTAATGCTAATTCTAATTGATCTCTCTCTCTCTCTGTCAACGTAAGTTAATATTTACACAGAGTTGTATCTGTTCCTTCCAGTGTCTACCCCACTCTCTGTGTCTATCAGTCTCTATTTCTATTTCTGCCACTTCAATTCTCTCAATTTCTCTGTGACTTCCATTTTCCTGCTGTTGCTCTCTGAGAAACTTGACATTCTGAGACATTTTGACAGAGCAGCTGCTGAAAACCTTCTCCCCCGGCCGGGATGCTTCGAACTGATTTCACAATCCCCAGAAAGCATATCAATCTGTAAGGTCTGAAGTGAGGAGACTTTTTTTTTCCAGCAAAGGATTAAGAATCCTCACCATTCCCCAGCTTGGAGGTCTTGGTGGGTATTGAAGTCTGAGATGGAGAGAGCGTTGGACGCTGAAGCAAATAAAGGGTGATTGCAGGAGCTGCTAAAATGGGGGTTCGGACTCCAAGTGTGGTTATGAGCTGGAATTCCAGGACAGGTAGAGGGGTAAGCTCTGAGACACCAAAGGCAGCTTTGGACTACTGACTGAGATATAACAGCTTTACTCCCTCCCTAACAGGCCACTGCTCCTCAGCCCTCAACTCTGACTGAGGGTCATTTTCAAACCTTAATATACAGCTCCCAGAGGAAATGATGTAGGAATGACTTAGCTACTGAGATTGGCCTTGAAATTGCATTTGAAGCTGGCGATATGCTATAGTTTAGTGAAGTGGCGGACGAGCCTGAAGCAAGATTCCTGCTCCTTTTTACACATTCTATTGCAGTGGAAATGGCAATTAAAACAACTATTAACAACACTGTTAGTGCGTAGCATGGCCATGCAGTTTGGCACCACTGGATTAAGTCATAGAGTCATGCAGCATGGAAACAGACCCTTCAGTTCAACCCGTTATGCTCACCATAATCCAAAACCAAACTAGTCCTACTTCCCTGACAACAAGGTGCAGGGCTGGATGAACACAGCAGGCCAAGCAGCATCATAGGAGCAGAGAGGCTGACGTTTCGGGCCTAGACCCTTCATCAGAAAACCTTTTCTGATGAAGGGTCTAGGCCCGAAACGTCAGCCT